GTGTCCACTTTGAGAGGTGAAAATTTTTTAACATTACGAACACTTGCCTTGCTTTTCGGAATACACCCACAGTCAGTGAGTTCGGATCTCAAAGAGCTCAACAAAGACAACAACCACATAAATAGAGAACCAAAAAGACCTTCTTTGTTCGATCAGAAAACAGTTACAATTGCACGGATGTTTATTGATTACTGTTCCCAACAAAAGTTGGCTATGACTCTCTCTTCCTTCGACAAATTGGTTCAGAAAATAAACAACCGCACATTCAACAAAGAAACTGTAAGAAAGTGGGCGCTCTGAGTTTTCAAGTTGAAAACCGTCGAAGGAAAACCAGAGGATATGGAAAGAATCACAATCAATATTTGTGATATTGTCAATAACTATCTGGAAATGTCCCAATTCAATGGCACCGACATCCGACTGGTATTTAACGTCGATGAAATTGGTTTCCAGGATTTCTGCAATAAAAGGTGGTCAAGATCCTAGTTCCCGCCGATGTCGACGAGAAAAACAGCAAAATAGGAGTTGGAAGATCAGGGAAACATTCGACAATAATTTGCATGATTTGCCTTGATGGTTCAGTTGTATGCACTGGAATTGTCGTCGCTAATAAGATTGTTGATACTGAGCTCCTTTCCAAATACACAAACGCTTCATTTTATTTAAGCAGCACCGGCTTCGTCACAAAAGATATTTTTATGGAGTGGATGACCACGACTGTTATTTCTTTTATAGAGTGCAAGAGACTACTGTCAAAACTTCCGGCAACGGCACCATCATTAATAACAATTGATGAATTTAGTGGACACAATTTTGAGGAGTTGAAAAGTTTTCTTTTGATATATCACATTCATCTTCACAAGTACACGTCGCACTACTCTCACTTGGTACAACCTCTTGATTTGTGTTTATTTGGTTCGTGGAAGAAACATGGCCAAATTGTGACTCCTTTCTTTAAAACTGCTGTAAGTGTCTCTGAGCTTCCTCGTATACAGCATCCCACTTCTGTGTTGGATAATGGACAAATTAACAAAAGAACGGCGGCGCAGATGGGTAGAAGTAGCACACTTGACGTAACAGGAGCAATGAAAGAGTTGGTCAGTGCAATTTCTGCGGACAACAATAATTCAAATGACGCCACCAAAGACTCTAACACAAGAGAAGCTTGTGGCCAACGCCTCAAAAATCGTTATCCAAGATTCTCAACTCCTTGGATACCTCCGCATCACATGAAGTTGTAATTGCATCTTTTCGCCGAGCAGGTATGGTTTCAAGATTGACCAACAACAGATTTGTTTTTTATATTGACATCAAATCTGCCAGTCGTCTCGTTGAAGAGTTTAGTGCGTTTTTCCAAGCCAATGTGTTTTCAAATGTGGCAATAACCAGAAGACTCTCTGCTCCACCCAATGAAATTGAGACCGTTTCGATATCTGATTTAGAAAGAGAGAGAAAAAGAGCACCAAAAACTTCAGTTTTGGTCAGTTATATCAACCATTTAGCCCAACAAATCGAGTTTTCCAGAAACTTGGAGCAACCCATTTCCATTTTAAAAACTCAAATTGTTTATATTTGTGAAAAATTCCATGTATTATACCATGGAGATCACCAAGTCTATGGCAGTCCTGTTGACGCGCTTCAACAGAGTCTCGAGCCTTTCGCACTCACAATTGGCGAATTGGAGGAGATCCAGAACTGAACCACTCGAAAAGACGTTTAATAATTGAGTTCAGTTCCATTTTTGTTTTTGGAAAAAACGCTGTTTTTAGTCTTTGTCAAGTAATTTCTAATTATAAAAATAGAATGAGTGGTAATTCCCGAAAAAATAAACCTAAAACAACTAACCAAAAATCATTATTTAGGCATTTTGGCCAATCATCTTTCTGTCAATCAATTTATTCTTTGTCAAGTAATTATTCTGCCTCCTTCTGTATTGTATTTGTAACTTTTAAAAATATTTTTTTAATATTGTTTTGTAACAAACCCGTTGCGAAGTGACGGGTAAAATTTGTAATTGTTTTTGTTTTTTAAAAAGAAAATGAGATTTGTTTTTGTATTTTTCCAAAAAATAGTCATCATTTCTCTTAACGATGATATTTATTTTAATATGTTTATACACAAAGTGTTATATATGACACATATGGGATAAGTTTATAATATTATTGTTCGTCATAAAGGGTAATATGTTAAAATATGTGTTTTAAAAAGTTAAAAAACCAATCTTTGTTAAAATAATTTTTACTTTTTATTTTGAAAAATAGAATAATAAATTGTTGTAATGGACTCTTTGATAACATTTATTGAATAAATAAATTGAAATGAATGATAGGTAAATGCACTACATTTATAATTGTAAGGTTGTTGATTTTTTGAAAATAAAATGAAAAATCAATAGTTTTATTGATAGTAAATTATAATTATGTTTTAGTTTTATTATTTAATAAAGTCAACTTTAATAAACATATTCTTGGATATCAAGAGTGAGTTTTGTTGATAATTAAAAGTTGTTTACAGCATTTTGAATACACCATTTGAATGTTGTGTGTCTGATGCCTGTTATTTATTAAAGAATAAATCGATGTTTGAATAATTATTCTTGATAATATAATAATTTTATAAACTAATAAATGTACATAAATATAAATATTATTAATAATTATAGCATATAATAGTATAATATAACATACTTATTAAGTAAAAACATTTTATAAAAATAATGTTTTTTATTAAAATGCTTTCAAAAAATATTTTAATCGCCATTTATTGTCATAATAATTTCAAATGAATCTCGATAAACAATTAAAATTTAATTATATATTATATAAAATATTAATTGTATTAATCAAAAACGTTGTTACATTTCGATCCAAATTTTAAATAATATTAAATTACATAAAAATGAAAAAAATAAAAAGTCAACAAATTTAAAAAATCGAATTTTGGACTATAAAAGAAAAAAATATGAACTCAAAACAGTCATCCAGCGATATTTATAATATGCAGGAAGAGGTTGTGATAAAAATATAATATAAATTCTGATTTCTAATTAACGATATTTCTAAAATACAACAAGGAAATTTACTATATCAGTTTTTATATTATAATATATAGTATCTAATTAAAAACCATAAATAAACAGTAAATTTCTTATTAATTTTTACCATTTGACATTCTCAAAGAAACGCTGGTTGTCAATCTTTTTCTTTGCTTTTCAAAGCAATTAATATGACCTATTAATCGCCTTATAACTATGACACTTCTGTGATTAACCACATTAAATGGTCTGCCGGTTGTGTTGATATCGCTCGAGAATTCTCAAAAGAAGGAATTACAAACTCCACATTTCTTGTTTTCCTTTTTTGGATGTATAATGTGGTTAAAAAGTAAAAAAAATTAAAAAATAAAACAAAAAAAATATTATTTCGAAAAAAGAAAAATAATCTATTTATTATAATTAAAAAACTAAATATATAGTTAATTTTCTCCATCGTTAATCAAAAATCCGACTTTATAATATGTGTAAGAGCGAGATAATTTAATTTGCAATGATCGTTAACAACTTTTTGTGGAACCTGTGATTAAAATGTTTGAATGAGTGTTATATGATAAAAAAGAGAACGCAATTCTATTCAGTACAGTAAAAATTCTATCGGTGTGTGGAGCCATGAAAATGGTTTTCCCAAGGTGTGTAATTTTTTTTCTTTTCTTTTTTTATTTCTGGCAAAAAAACTAAAAAATCATGAAATTTGTAAAACTATCCACAATCAAGAAAAATGACATAATAATTTTTTGTTTTTTTATGAGAAAAAACGCGACACGTGTAAACATAAAATAATATTGTGATTTTTTTAAATTGTTTAATTGTTTAGAATAAGAACAACGCATTGTGTTTTTGTATAAACACGTGGAATTATGGTGCTGATTGGTTCTTGTCAATTTACAACTCAAGTACTTCTTTGACATCAGCCTCGATTGCTGCATTGTCTTCTGTTGAAAACATTAAAAAAATTTGCTTGTTCACCGTGTTATTACACAGTAGCAAGTTAGTGTCGATTTTTAGCCTCAATAGTTATCATCTTGTCGTCCTTTGCCTTGAACTTCTTTGCGTCTGCAACTATCTTGTCCACCTATTCCTTTGAGAGTCTTCTTTTTTGTTGTCTCGTTTTCAGCCGACACATTTAATATCCCATTTGCATTTTTGTCAAATGTGACTTCAACTGTGAGACTCCACGTGGTGCTAATAAGATACCAAACAACCCAACCTTGTCAAACATGTTGCAATGTGATGTCATAGATGCCTCGCCCTCAAAGACTTAGATGAGCACGCCATGCTTATTGTCTGCATGTGTCGAAAATATCTGTGACTTCATTGCTGAAATTAATAAGCTTTGTGGTATCAATTCTGTCATCACACCAATCACAAGCGTGCTCTTGTGATTGGTGTGGAAGTTTGTGCATTTTTTATTATCATTTAAAGTTAAATTTTTTTTGAAGAGCATTTTCTGCTTTTCTTCTCTTATCTTTTTTGAATCCATTTTTGTTTGATAATTTTTCTCTTTTTTAGTTTTTATTACCAAGTCTTTACTCTTTTAAAATAAAAACAAAATTGCAATTGACATTATTTTTAAGGGTTTTGGTGCCAAATATGTGGAAAATCATTATATTCTATCGGTGTGTATGTCACTTTTGATTGGTCAAAACCACACACCAATAGAATTTTTACTGTAATAATATATTTTATCCACAAATAATTTAAATGATTTGTTTTTATTCTTAGTTCTTTGGTTTTATTGGTTTTTATTAATTTCTAAAATTACAAAACAACAAAAACAAAAATAAAAATTAATGTGTTTTAACTTCCCAAAACTGCAGAGCAGGGTTTTTCTTTTCCAAAATACATGTAAATATTGTTTTTTCCTTTAAAAGTTTCTAATAAATTCCCCAACTAGTTTATAGACCCCCTATAATTGACTCAACTCTTGTTGCAGCGAAGAGTAAAAATGGCATACAACTACAGAGTTTTACTTACCAACACAAACTATTCAATAGTCAATTATTTGTTATGCAAAAATTGGAGTAGTCAATATGAGTACAACATCTTAATGATTAACACAATAACAGACTTGGACTCAAAACCAAATTTTGATTTTAAAACGAATGAAAATGAATGTTACAGGACACATATGAGATGGATTGTTAACAACTTTGGTATAACAGAAAGTAAACGAAATTATGAAATACAATTGAAAAGTTGTGTGAATGCAATTTCTGGTATTATTTCATTTGCTGGATACCAACTTGACAGACCAAAAGTATTCCCATCACTCAACTATTTTGGAGCATCCGTTCCTATATGCAAATACACTGACCATCTCACTACTAGTGAAATTGAGACAAAAATTGATTCGACGATGTTTGTTGAGACGTTCAGAGTGTATTTCGAGAGGATGAAAGAGCAAGAGCGATATTATAAGCAAAACAGTATCATGTCTAATGCAATTTTTGAGTTCTTAAGAGATCGAATAGGACAAAATTTCAAAGAAATTTGTGTTACAAATATTGAAGGATTATCAAATGATTTTATGAAAGAAAGATATGACCAATTTGTTGGGATATATGCAGACTGTGTTACATTAAATAACGATGACGAGTCGTTTGTAGTCAATAAAACGGCAAATGGATTTGAAGTGAAGGCGAAACTTGGTGAAAATGCCGTTGGAAATCGGTTGACGTTTAATTACGTCTTTAATAAAAAGTATGATAAAATGGGACTTTCTTTCGACCACGGAAAATGTGTGAAGAATGAGAACAATGTGTTTGTGTGGACTTATAAAGACTATAAAGCATTTGATCATACCGAAGAACTGAATTATCAATTCGACCAGAAGGACATTAACCTTCCAAAAGACTTAATTGTCATGATATCTTATATCGGAAAAATGGAATTGTACTACGACTTAATCAATAAAAAAGTTGAAGAAGACATTAAGCACGAAAGAATGGTAAATGAACACAATAGAATACAAGAAATGGAGAGATTGGAAAGAGAAAGAATTTTATGGCAACATGGAATTACTTTCTTTTAAGAATTTTTAACTATTTTTTCTTATTTTGTGTGTTATTAAAACTCTAAAATGGTATAATAATCATTCAATTATAGTATTTAATTAAACAATTTTAATATAGATAATCAAACTATTATTTTATTAATAATAAAGTAATAAATTATATTATTATTATAATTATAATTATTTATAATTATTAATGACAAACGACCAATCAGAACGAAACTAAATTGACTATCCAAGTGGATGGACCACAAAAGTCCAAGTGATTGGCCATTTTGATTTTGAAAGCCAGTGATGGGTATATAAGGCACACTGAATTGCAACACGACAATGAGTTGTGGGTGTGAGAAGAAGTGCAAATGTGAAGGCAGTGAAGCGATCACGTGTGGGTGCTGCTGCCAAGATGGGAAGTGCTGCTGTGACTTCAAATGCAAATGTGGTGCTGAAGGGAAGTGTGAGTGCTGCTGTTGCTGCAAAGAGGGAAAGTGCCAATGCAAGACATTTGCAACTGGGATGACCATCACCTGTGAGTGCTGCTGTGAGGGATGCAAATGCACATGTGAGTGCAAGTGTGGAGAGAAGAAGGTGTGCCAATGCCAGAAAGAAGCATCAAGTGGGTGCTGTTGTGGAAAGACATGCTAAGTCACTTTTTTTCATGTTTATTTGTTTGAAGTGTTGTTTGTATAATTGTGAAATGAAAATACAAATTTTAATAAAATGTGAAACCAAAGTAATGTATTGTGTATTTACATCTTTGTTTGCATGTATTGTTTTAAGTATCGAAAATATGAACTTTTCTTGATAAAAAAGTGAAATGTTAAATTAATATGAATTGAAATATAAACTAAACTACTATAATCTTGATTATAAAAAGTTTTAATTATAACAGTAATTACATTTCAGACATTGACAAATCAATGATTAACGCAAATTTCGACATCGAAACCAGTTTTTATATATTTTATAAATGTTACAAACATTGAAATAATTAAAAAAAAACAAAATTGATATTAATGTTGAAAATATATGTTAAATATAAAGTATCAACTCCCAGAATGAATTGTGAAAGTGTCTTTTTTAACTGTTATATTTGATTAGTTTGTAAACGTTAAATTGTTTGAATTAAATAAATCAAAAATAGATAGTTAGTTTTCTCTTAAAGTTGTTAAATAGTCAAACAAACAACAAAAATAATACAAACACAAAATACATAGTAATTTATAATTTTTATGGATAAAAGTGTCATCACCACACTATTATTCAAAGTGATCTCTTTTGAATCTTTCTTTTCGACTTCGCAGTAATTCCAAATTGTTTGTCCAAATCTTTTTATCATCTCTTTGTCCATAACAGACCCATCAGGAAGTATAATGAATACATTCCCACCAATCCCCTCCCGATTCTCTGTGTCATACATCACAACAAATCCATCTTCAAAAAGAATGTCTTCCAAAAGATGAATGCACTCCCGCTTCTTTCGACTTCTCACTTTTCGCAGAGCCCATTTTCCACTTGAATTCTTCTTGTTGTAACTGGACATCCGTTCTTGTGCTCGTTTGGCAAGAAAACTCTGGACATTGAACACAAAAGAATACTCGTCGTTGTCAAAAAACACCTTTTGAATCTCGATGAATTTGTTGGAGTATTTACTCGGCTTCTTGAGGTGTCCAACAACAACACGTCTATTCATTGATATGAAAGCAAGCAGAGAGCACTGAAGATATGATAGTTGTGTTCGCTCATTGATACATTTGATATTTTCACTAACATGTGATAATGTTTCCATTGTTTCTGGAGATGGATGATACACATTTATATATTTATTGATGAAGATAATAATACACAATAAACTACCCAATTGATATTCACCAAAAAAAATATTTGACAATATTAAAATAAATCTGTAATAACCATTTAATTAAACAACTATTGGTTTTAATAAATGATTTTGATTTTTATATTTTATTTTTGTGTTGCTGGATAACACAGGAATTTTTAAAATTGAATGTATGTACTGTCTGCATAAAAACAGTCCAAACTCCAGAAAACACACCAAATATATAATTAAGTTTAGAATCAATTTTAATTGTTATGTGTTTCACAGTACAATTTGTCGACTTTGGAGGGTTTATGTTCCAAATTGTGTTATTTTTATAGTTTTTATTTTTGTTTTGAAAATTCGTTTCAAATAGAAAAACAAAATACATTTTTATGTTATTTTTTAATTTTTTATAACTATTTAAAATATAAATTATTTTAGTTACTTTATTGGTTAAATTCATACAAATACTCTGAATAACAGAACAGTTTGTTAACAAAAATAAGACATTTTTATATTTATTTGAAACTAAATAAATTAAGTGTTTTGTCTGTTTGTTGGTGTGTTGTGCAATTAAATGTATATAATTCATGAGATCAATTGCATTGTTTATTATTTTGGTTAAATACAATTAACAATGTATTAAAGAGTGTTAACGTGATAGACCACTTTTATGTGGATGGATTTGGAAATCTTACATGTTTTTGTTGTAATTGCGATTAAATTTACCTAAGAGTTTAGAAAAAATGGGTTTTTTGGACCGAATTCATAAAAAACCGATTTTTTTGAAAGTTAAAACAAAAAAACAAATTTTATTTTTAGTAAAAGTCATTTTTTACTTTTACCATTTAAACGAATTTGCCGCAAAAAAAACATTTTTGTTAATATTTTTAACACTAAAGTTTTTAATTAATTAACTTTAGTTTATTTAATTAATTGTATAAACTATATTTAATCAATAAAATTATTGAAATTGAATAATTTATAAAATAACATATAATTTGTCATAAAATACTATGGCATAGTTTACTGTGGATAGGTTAAAAAGATGTGGATGGTAAATATAGATAGACAATCTTTATTATTACATGTTAAATGTAATGAGTAACATACCTTGTATTTTTTGATGGTTTTTGTTGGTATTTGTCGTATGTTTCT